AAACATTCTAATTTTATCCCAAAATAACCTTGAAAAAAACTAACTACGTGGACATTTATTTGTGAAAAATCCAGCAAGACACTGTATAGAAAGAGGACTTACTAAAGGACTTTTTTTATCTAACAGTTAATTCCCTCGTGATAAAGAAGACAAGATCGCAGAGAAAAGAGCTTTATTTGTCTAACGTTCCGGATTCCTGCTCGAACCCAGCATCAGAGACAAAAGCAGATACAGGTGGTTCATGCACAAGGTGCTGCAATATTTATAGGATGCAGTCGACATGCTACCGCATACCAATGAATATCCACGCCCCGCCTTCATCGGGGATCGAAGCACTTGATGTGATGACTGTTTGGTGGCCGACATTCGCATCGTTAATTGCTGCAATTTCGTCATGTGTGTTGGATGTTGGTGTGATGATTGTTCGGCCATCTGACCAGCAGAGTTCACCTGTGCGCTCCCCGCCTAGGTTTGGGAGTATGGGAAAGAAAGGTCGTTGTACTTGTCAATAGACTGTAGGCCAGTGAACCATTACTCAAGCAGCTCTCGGTTCACGCGCTTGTCACCTCATACTCGGTGCTGAGACTTCGCCTAGGCAGAGCAATTAACCAAGCAGGGAGCGCACTGGTGAACTCTGCTGGTCAGATGGCCGAACAATCATCACACCAACATCCAACATACATGAAGAAATTGCAAAAATTAACGATGCGAATGTCGGCCACCAAACAGTCATCACATCAAGTGCTACGATCCCCGATGAAGGCGTGGGCGTGGATATTCATTGGTATGCGGTAGCATGTCGACTGCATCCTATAAATATTGCAGCACCTTGTGCATGAACCACCTGTATCTGCTTTTGTCTCGAGCAGGAATCCGGAACGTTAGACAAACAAAGCTCTTTTCTCTGCGATCTTGTCTTCTTTTTCACGACTGCCTCCTGTGGCTCCTCTCTTCGCCTCTATTGGCAATGCATTTCCTCGTCAAATATATCCATTGTACACGTGGTGTTCTTTTGTTTTATTTACTTGCATGTTAATATGAGCCTACAAGTTTTATTATAACAACTGTCTTACCGTGACAAAATCCAAGAACCTACTGCAGGGAAAAAAGCTAGGTAATTCTGGATTAGTCAGGAAGTGCGATACTCGACAACCAAGGAGTCTATTCTTTCGTATGTTTGGATAATAGCAGTGAACGCCGCAGCGTATTCGCCGACAATTCCAGGACATCGTGATTTTCGATGAAGGGCGCCGTTACTCAAAGTTGTAAAGTAGTTTTTGAATAAAAAATAAAGTGTTTATAGCGGTGGCTGTTTATTTTCTCCCAAATGCCTAGGCGCCGACTGGTCTTCTCATATATCATTCTTTTTCCTGTAGCACCTTTACTTAGTATCCCAAACAACGTTGCCATCTTTGTGGACAAACGCAGCTGAAACAGTGCAGAAACGCGAAATATTGATGAATTCGGTCAAATATAAAGCAGATCATGTGCATCCACTCTGATCATTACAGGAATCTTTACGAAATCTTACCTCGGAGGTTGTGAAGAAGGTGGGGCGTTTATAAACGCAGTAATTTGTTTGGATGTGCATTGAGTAATTTTAGAAATCATGTATACTTATTTGCATGACCTTCACGTCTTCAGCATTGCTTAAAAATTTTTGCTTCTTTCCCGAGTAATAGTAACGTTAATATTTTTTGTCTTATTGTTTAAATGAATGTTGCCCATCTTTGGTGGGCTGTTTTGGTAGGCGCACTGAAAGTGTCTTCAGAGTTGTAAGGAAATGATTCCAACTTAGGTAAATTTCATGAGCAGAAAGGAATTCGAAAAAGCTTTTAAAAGTATATCGGTGACAAGCTGACTGTGAACTTCGGGACGTTAACTCTCCCATGAAAAACAGCGTGAACCAAAAACCATGTTATTCTCTCTGCTATGGCAATCAGAATGACCGTACTCACTCCGAGGATCTGAAAATATCCTCCGACCGACAGGGAGGGCAATACTGATCACGAATTTACGAGCTAGATAGATCACAACACATACAAGATGGAATTTGATTAAGTCGACAAGTAAAACTGAATTAAATAGGCTAGTTATGCATATTTTCTAGAATACGCCCAAAGGAGGAGAACGCAAGAGCTATAACTGCTTTTTGCATCATGATGGATGACCTGTGACAAGTGACCTGCCTTTACAGAAGAATAAACCATCTCCTCATTGTCATGAGGCAACGGCACCACGGAGAACCCTTTGTCATCTCGTCAACGCCGAAGTTCTTTCAGTGACAAGCCAAGGTTTGAAGAGCAAGTACAATGAAATCTGTTTGTCCCACTCGCGGCTGTGCTGAAGATAGGCAACTTGACTGTCTTCAGCGTCTTTATTGCTCACGGTGGCACTGATTACGCTACTCCGAAGTGGGTAGTTGATTACTTCGGAGTCGTTAAAAGACTAATACCTTAATTTGCCTTCATACAAAAGACACAACGTTTATCTCACTTAAATACCTCGCTTTCCAAATCATGAAAAGACTGCATGAATGCACTTTTGCCAGTATCACTGACTGGTAGTGGACCAAGTCCTTGCCCAGAGGTTGGTGGAAATGCTCCACAAAAGGCAGAAAAATGAGCGAATCTCCGATGTGGTCATCTCGAAGCTTAGATCGCTACTCCAAACCCGCAGTTGTCAGTTACAAAGAAAGAATGCATCGACTAAATCAATTGTTAGATATGGCTGGCTGCCGACTATGCCATGGCAACGGTATGAAAATCAGTCTGTATAGCGTGCAGATCTTGAGAGAGAAGGCAATCTCGAAAACAAACAGAAAAAGCGACGGAACACCATTGACGCCGTGTTTCCAAAGTCTCCGAATACGCTCCCGATTGCACCAGAAATAGATCGGCAATAACCATATGAAGTCTTCAGCTCTTTTTTTCCACGAAAACTGGTCACAACAACCTCTATTTAAGTCATGACTAGCGAAAGCAAGGCCACATTCAACCAACAGCTAAAATAAGTGCAACAGCGACTGAAGGAGATGCAAAGTGACTGGTCAGCTTGCAAGGTCGAAACATTGTGTGGATACGTAAACATCGATATGACGAAGAATTTCCTCACATACAATAATTGGTCCACTGATATACGTACACCAAAACTGCGGCATTCTTTGCTTAATAGGAGATCCACACTGTCAGAAATGTGGCTGTTTCTGGATTGCTGAACTGGGCGCCTTTGTAACTTCCTCAATTCCCCTCATTCAGTCTGCCTTTCTCAAGAAAAACCAGTAATAATTCTAAAAACTCGAAATCCCCAGAAGAATCAATTAGGGTGGCGCGATAGATATTTAGCGACAAAGCCCTGGGGGAAAATGACTACTCGTAGCTGTCTACGAGTTCCTTGGATATCAAGCTCTGGGCAAATTGACCTTCTTGTCCCTAGAGATACAGAAACGTAGGCGGTTTACCAGGTCTTTGGGGACTTCACGACTGTCTGTCCTTATTTATTAAAGATTAACAAACTAATCTGCCACAATCAACATGCCAACTATCATCTCAGTACTTATGGCAAAATTTGTGCCGGCGTTATTCTAAGTCAGTATATCGAACAACTTGAGGAGGTAATTCTTCCGGACACTTAGTGCAGTATCTGAAACCGTCAGGAAAGTCTGATTTGATTTTGGCAGCACAAAACCGACAGGAAATAGCCCACAGTTAGGAACCAGCATCTAAGCAATCTTAGAAAATTTCAAACTTACCTCCCGCGCTATAAATTAATACAAGATCTGTCACATACTAGGGAAATAAGGACCCTCTAATGGGACCACGTCAATGAAAACGAGACTTCACCGCATTATAACGTGCTTAATGGTTAATGGGGCAAACTTAGTAGCCTCCAGGGCAAAGCAAAGTTAAAGAAAGATCGTCTACCTGCTTCCACCCTGTTACATTTGATGCCTATCAATAAATGGATACCCATCATGAAGAATGGCCAGGGATCAATACTGGTATGGAGCTTTTCAAAAATTTCCTGCGAATTTTGTTTTGAAATCCACAAGTCCGAAACACGTAACCCGCTTCTCTGAATATTGCGGTTTTTGTACTGTGAACTGACATGCAACGATGCCTCAACCTTTTTGTTTCTGAAGACTCCGACGTTGCATTAAAACTAAGATGAGGAAATCGGTTGCTGTTCTTCAACCGTTATCAACCGCAAAATGCAACGAATCCCTAGTCTTAGTTGGCAAGAATAACTTAAATTTATCGTATTGCTCCTCGTATCGTCTTGAGCATCATCTGAAGCAACATCAAGATCGACGATGAAATTGCAGCCCGGATCTTCTAAACCAGACGGGCTTTCACTCCGTTTTGGGTTTTCACCTGACTTCATTGGTGAAAATTCTGTAACTATGAATAAGGAATGCACAGGTTTAAAATTGGGAAAATGTTTCTGCATGGCCTAAAGGTTTGGGCAGTTTTTCGAAACCGATCCAGTTTTTTCTATTTAAATTTGGACTAATGGGTATCGAATATTAAGTACAAATATGCAGGCTCATGCGGAATCAACCTCATCTTGTATATGCTAGCCGTATCCGACGAACATTAATCACAACTACTCGTCCATGAAAATGCTGCTCGCAAATTAACGATACATCTAGTGTTAACCTGGGGTTGTTAGGTTTATTTTGTGTTAAGGAGCTCATTTTATATAATTTTTGCTACCTACAATTTGTCACTTTTATATCTCTTTTCAGAGCCCACTTACTGATCTGCAGTGCATTTTAACTAAAAATGTTACGACTACTATTTATGCTTGAACTATCTCCACAACGAACCTCTCATGTTAGTAAAACCGATAAAGGAAAAGAAAAAAGGAATCTCATGTGACATATTATAAGTTTGTGAAATCGTTTCCAATATGTCGTGTACTCGTGAAGACCAATATGGAATGTAGTTAGGAAACAAAGAAGCGAATATAATCTTTGGATAGGGAGGATTTTAAATAATTTACTGGACGATGCTGGAAAGTCGCTTAGTGGAATTAATAAATTGCGTCGTTGACGGAGCCCTGGTTTGATAAGCTGGCTGTGAGATCACGACAGACGCGCAGTATGCTGATGAGCAGGCTGAAGAATGACCAGGAGAATAATTCAGATTACAGGAAGAATTACAGGAACAGGCCGTTGTTGTACAGGATGTACACAGGTCATTCTCCGAAAACCACCGAGGGCCAATCTGATCCTCTTGCTGGTGCGATCTTTTAAAAGAACTATGCCTTCTTTTCTTTTCTTGAGGCAAATTTGCAGCCAGCTCCTCTTGAACTTGCTCTTGCAGCGCCCTATCGCTTGCCGCAATCGGTAAATTTAGGGCTTTATTTGCAAAGCCTGAGCAGATTTCTTGAATGGAATTGCTTCCACAACGTCCTTGTTGCATTTCAGGAGGAAGCTTTGTCAACTCTTTGTAGACATTTGGCCGCTTCATGTGATCTGCTGAATCATGATTTTCAGGCAGTGGAAGGATACGCAGAGGTAGCTTCTCATTGGCTATCCTGTTCTCAATCTTTGGCATTTGTGCTGCACAAAGACTCGGATTGCAGGTCACTTCCTTGAAAGGCCACTGGATATCCCTCTCTTGCATCTTTTCGACAGCCGGACGTTTGATCTCCTGTAGAAGGTATTTTATGCGATTTTCTTTTTTCCTAGAATTTAGGTCTACTAGCCGTCTTTCGTCGTGGAATCTGTTGCTCATAGCCGAATTCTCTGCAGAGCTGGCAACACTCCGATTACACCGGACGTTACGTTTGCTGGCGGAGAAAGAACAGAGCATTCGACGCAGTGCCAAGGCAAAACGTTGGTTTAGCCAACAGTGAAAAACAAATGTGCAGTCGGTTTTGAGAGCCAGCGCCAGAATTATAAAGGCACGCAGAAGACTGTGACCTCTGCTGGGAGTTGACAGAATACCCACCTTTCGGCAGGCAGAGTAGACAACAAAAGGACTTTGACAGGTGAAAAAGGCTCCAATGAGGCAGAGAACAAGGATAGTCATGCGAGCCTCCTCGCGCAGTGTACTCTTAAACTCTGCGCCTCCACGGATACAGTGCTGCCGTACAAATCGGCTGGACATTCGCACCGCGTAAAGTAGTCGAAAACTAGCCAAACAAAGAAAGAAGAATGGCAACACGAAGAAGATAATGAAGTGCACTAGCCAGGCTTGTACTGATTGAAAATTCGCCAGCGTCTGTGGCCAACGGTCTCGCAGATAAACATGCTGACTAAAATGAGACAAGTTGTGCATCGACTGACGCCATTCTCTTGAATTATTAATCAGCGTTGTCTGCCTGTGAGGTGAGAAGAATACATCCGAAAGCCGTGACTCGTTATGCTGAAGGAGAGGAAAATTATTTGGGTTAATTTTGCCTGGTCGAATCGGCACAAGTTGATGAGTACTGCCCTTGCAGAAATTCAATTAAAAAGTACTAATTTACGTTAAAATAGCTTCAATATTTATAATAAAAAGTTTGAAAATACGCTCCAGTTTTGCTGTATATCAGGGTATTTGAAGTCATGTTAGAAGATATACCAACAAATAAACAATACTTTTAGGAGAAGGTTAGGCTGACAAACAAGTTCGCAAAAAATATCTTCGGGTTCTCTCTAACTGTTAGTATTATCAATAACCAATTTATTTTTGCATTTGACTATTGCCAGAAGGGCAATTCTTTTGTCAAACATAAAGTAGCAATACGATAGTTTAAGGTTCAGTCGATATTATTTAATGATAAAGTTAGGTTATCATAATTCAATTAAGGCATTTAAAAATTTGCAAAACACTTAAAAGCAGAGTAGGGTTTTCCGAGGGAGAAGAGTTTCAGATTATTTTTGAGTAGACATGCGGAGTAGCAGTAGGAATTACCGATAGGAAAAATCCGCTTTTAGAAACAACGGGCAGTCTTTAATTACGGTAATAATATCACTGTCGTCAAATTGACTTAATCTGATCTCTCTTTCATCTTTTGTTTGGACCAACATGTCTATTGAAGCAATCACAATCCATTCATCGCACGATACCCCTCCTAGTTTGATGGAGGACGCTATACGTTTTATAATCGGTCGCCCTCTGAAGGCTTAGAGCGAAGTATAACGTCTTGTTAGCCATCCATTTTAAGCGACCTATATCGCGTTCTGCTATGTCGACTTTTGATTGCGACAGAGTTTAAACTTTGGATGTTCAAAAGCCTCATTATAACAAAATTATGAAGACCAGTTATTCAACTTCAAATTAAAGAACTCTCTAGACAACGAAAACGTCTATGTAACGTTTGACTTGAAGAAATAACCATGGGTAATCTCTTTTAGAAGTTAGGTAATTCTAATTCTACTTGTTTGCTTCTGCACAAAAATATTTATAATTGCATTTTCGTGCAACTGTTATCTTACCTCTGCCGTTGCCGAATTTAAATAATTTTCTGCTAATGTTGTCTGATATTTTGCCTATTTTCCATTTACCTATTATATTGGAATAGTAAAAATGCTTATTCTTTCGAGGGGTATTGGCGGATTCAAAAAGAGCCGGAGTGATCCTTAAAAAGTCCATGGGGCACGGTTTGCCCAAAAGCACAAAATTCATGAACTATAACTCTCTAGGTTGTCCGTTAGCGCAATTGGTCTAAATGGTCTTCGAATGGCCAACTCCATTTTGAAACTGCAATGTCAGGCAAGTTGTACTTTTTGACAATTTCTTAGTAGTAATGACTAAAAACATGATCATTTTGTTTATGTTCGAGATTTTGCCGAGCGCGTTAGTTGCCGTATGCATACTGTCGGTATTTGTTTGCTGTTCAGCTGTCGTGTTCCTTTGCGCGAAAATAATCATTGTTTAGCTTTACCTGTCTTTTGTACAAACAAACGCCGTGATAATACTCTATGCGCCATTATATACTTAACCTCAGTAAAAACTTTCTAGATAATGTACATTATTCAGGCACTTAAACTAAGCTTTTTTCTGGCTTCCAAACAAGACAACGAACTTTCCCACCATAAGCACGGATTTGTTTACCGTAGACACCAGCGGCGTTATGTGAATCGTCACTAGAAACGAACTCGAAATTTAAAGCATATAAAAGTCGTCATTCGAACCAATCATCAGAGACGACTACACTTACAAATCTGTAAATTAATCATTGTATATAACTGAGCCGTCACCCATGAGAACTCTACAATGAAGGTATATGACGAGACAGGGTTCGTCGCAGTACGCTTGTCAATCAGGATAGATACGATGGCACAACTATCATAAGCATGTCAAATTCCTTAGTCCACTGGATCCTAGTTCAGTCTCTCAAATGTAAAAATCAATTAGCATTTCTTAAGCTAAGTCTGCAACTTAATATTGGTAAATTGAGTTCCTTCTTAAGAAATTAGTTTTTAATGACGAGAAGTAAATTATCGAGACGTTCCTCAGAATTAATAACTGAGACATTTTAGTAAGGTCGAGCAACTCAATAGCAACTACTATTCAAAGGAACCAAAGTCCCCACCGGAACTTGATTCTCTTTTCAATATGTGAGCTATGTTGGCCAGCTCTGCAGCCGCTAAAATAGAAACTCCTGACCGTCCATGATCCGAAACGGACTGTCTTGACTCAATGTCTATAGAAAATTGATTGTCAGCGACATAAAGCAGGTGCAAAACGGGGCTGCAGTAACTCACGGACAGTAAACTCGGGTAAGCATGAAATATTAACTAGTATGATGTGTGTGGTCGTGAAATGTTTCTGGCTTTTTGATTCAGTATGTGCCACTTAATTTTGAGGAGAGACATGATCGAAAAAGTATTGACCGCGCTACTTGGTTAAGTTTGTATTCACTCTCGTATTTTTGATTCCCTGTCGACATAATACTTATGCTTTCCTTCATATTTTTGTTCCTTTGAAAGCTTTCAATAACTATCGGATTACTCTTACTAAAAATACCTAAATAGAACTTATATTATACTGAATTACTGGTTTTGTGCGCGTGTTTGGCTCAGCATTTCGTTGACTTTGTTTTTTAAAGGCAAGATACGAAAACTAATAAGCATACTTGATTCTTATTTCGACGACTTGGAGTACTAAAACAAACAAAATTAAGTCTACTTGAGATTCTGACATCACGGAAACTACTCATGAAAGTAAAGGTCAGCAGCTAAGGATATAATGAAAGTGACAAAATACAGAAATAGCATGAATGCGCGTTCTTATTTTGTTTTTCATGTTTACTTTAATCAACTGTTTTTGCTAGGGTTTCGTTTGCAAAAATGTTTCCAAGGTTATGTTAAAAAGTAGAGCAAACCGCTTTCTTTTGAGAGATTACAACTTCAAGAATAGGCTGAATGCGTTTATCTTTGTGCAGTCGGCGTTTTGGTTGTATGCAGTCGTCCGAGGATGCCCAAGGGAATTTTGAAACATTTGGAATTTTTTACTATGGCTGCACTCGCTTTTGGATATGGGAATTAAGATAATTTTCTTACTAAAACAGTAGGTGAGTTGGTCTTCGTGAAACCGTCTGCACTTTTTCATCCATTCGTACATGATAAGTCACCGAGGTAGAGACAGTCGTTTTGGTTTGTTATGCAATAAAGTGTTGACTTGGATCACACACAGCATTCTTCTGTTTCTCATTGCAGTTAAAGAGTTGCTAGTTTTGATTTGTCTGATAATTTTGCTAGTTCGTGTTGCAGATCTTCTACATCTTTGCAAGTTGCTGAAATCCGTTTATCACCAAAAAACGAACTCGTTTCTTTATAGCTAAGTGTGCACAACCTATTTATAAATTTACTCATTATATGCAAATTACTTATTAAAACATTATTTACTTCAAGGCAGTGATTGCCAGTTTGCCCCCTCTTTGTCGCTGGCGAAGATAAGCACACATTCAGTAAAGGTCATGTAGGGTTCATAAAAGTCACTTGATTCCATGAAACGTGTTAAAGATATGGCTTATTATCTTCATACCATATGAAAGGCTGTTTTTATTCTATCGCACAACGCAGTTATTGCAATTTGGCTAGAAGACATTTAAACCTTGTCTTAGTGCACTGACTAATGTGCTTAACCAAGTGTCGAGTAAAACATCGTTGTGTGCGATGGTAACGCTGTGAATTGCGTAACAAGAACAAAAATTCAATGGCAAAGATGACATTTTTGCCGATATCTGAAGATTTTGCGATCATTTGTTTAAAGATTTAAAAAGTAAAGTGGAAAACAGACTATTTTTAACCTTTTACAATTATTTTACATGTCATGCAACATTTTATGAACTTCAGCTAAAAGGCGGATCAGTCCCTTAAAGGAACCTATATCACAAAATGTTTTCTATATGGTCTGCTTAGCTAGAACTTATCAGTACAGGTGGTCGAAGTTTAAAAATATATTTCCCTATCGCATTATTTGCGTCATGTTTTGTATAAGTAAAGGCGAATTATGACGGGACTAGTTTTAGATTCATACGTAATTCCAGCCGCTCAAATCCTTACTATTTTCTCTTTATGACGTGGTTGTTTACAACATCTTGCCAATCTACAGGAGTGGCCGCAAGGACGGTATACACTGGTTTGTACACCAAGGAGATCTCGAAGTCGTCGTGAGATTATAAAGGCTAAACCTCAGTGGACCAATTTCGGCAAAATGAACGCTGTTCTTTACTAGCGTACAATGACAGTTAGGCACTATTTTTGGACATATTATTCCGCAGTGAAAATTTAGTTCGGAATTGCAAATGATGTGTCACGAATTCACAATATGTGCGCAATGGCCGGCAGTGTTTTTGGAGGATATTTCAGGCTTAGACTATAAATCAGATGAAAAAAAGTGATTATAAAGAGTTCAAAAGTTTCTTGTTTTATTATCAACTAAGTGTTTGCTGTTCAAAAAACTTTCAGTAAATTATTTTTTAAATCACTTGTTTTTCTCTTTATGTTTATGCCAGTCGTTGGGCGGTGCAACTGCCGAAATGAAAGAAGACTTTTATGTGTTTCCCCGTTTATTTGTCAGCGTAAGCTAGTACACGTTACTTCTGCCGATATTTCTCCTGGGCTATTGATTACTCATACGTATGCGACAACTTGGTAAACTGAGGACCACAACTCTACGGTCCGACGGAAACGCCCACTTCCGTCCTTCTAATAAGAAAGCTTTTAGAAATAAATAGTATGCAAAATTTCCTTTCAAGTAAACGCTCGACTGGCAATGTCTGAAAATATCGTTTCGTCCCGCGCGTCAGAGGAGACATGCAAGGTTGCCTACTGACTCCACTTTGAAAGCTTCTGTGGAAGTAGAAGATTACAATCTTTAATTTAGAAACGATGTGCTTGTTAATCAAATTTGTCAGGAAACGCCGTTTTGGCTTTTTATGGTATCCCGAAAACCCGAATTTATGTCGGCCTGTTTTCCACACCTTAGGTTCAATAATAAAAGTGTTGGGGTAAATGAATTATTAGAAAAATATGCTGCATGATAATTCGTTTTTCAACCCTAATTAATTAGTATTTTCGAAACGGAAACGCATTTCGGCATTTCTTTTGAGATTTCATGATTAGGCCCACCTACTGTAAATATAAGTATAAACGGAACAGCGAATGACAATGCTTTGGATTTTGACACCTATTAAACACTCTGATGAATTAAATATCAACACTGTTATCTGGATCCCATAACTTATATTAGCCTTCTGATATCTTAATCCAGCAACTCAGCTTTTAAGCCTAAAGCATGATATTTCAGAACTGCTACTTACGCGGATACCAAAATGTCCTTAGAAGAAAAGCCTTAAGACCTATTTTGAGGGAAAATACACCTTACTTGTAAACATAATGCATCGGTTAACCAAATGTAAGGCGGATTTCCTCTTTGATATTTTAATTTTGCATCTTAGTCTAGATAGTTTGTAGTTACAGCAAACTTAAAGGAATTAATTATCGATGCGAAAGCGTACCATTTTGTTAGGGCTTAGAGCCCCCCGAAAAGTTAAGTGTCACTTGGGCATTGTTATTTGCAGAAACAGCTTACAAATATTCACCAGGAACTTTTCAGGTAACGATAGTGCCCAGTTAACGCCTTATCACTCTTTTAATAGAAAGTTCAAATCAATAACGTTGTCATTGTGTGACAACAACAAGTACTCTATGCTTAGTCACTTTGTGATTAAGCATCATTTATGTTCAGCTTATAAAGGTGACTTGGATTGTTGGAAAACGTTTCTATGCCTGCAGGCAAAGACCTACCGGGCAGTCATAGTATGCACTAAGATAATGGTTTTGAAAACCACGTCCAGTTCTATATAATCGTTTGTAAAAAGCAGAACTTTCATTTTACTAAGGACGATCGTGCAGAATCGAAGTAGATTTTAATATGTTTTTTGTTGGTTAAAAAGTGAATTGTCGACCAGATTGTCGGAGTCAACCAAACGTTTGACAGTTTGACGCAACATTTCGGATTTAGACTTTAAGCGTGCAAAGTAACAGAAGGTAAATATCGTGTAGACTACTGTTGTGCGCGCAGAAATAAAATGAAGAGCTCTGGTCAAACGGGTGGATCGGACGAAGGAATTTCATAAAACACCCTATTCTTTTGCCAAAACTCACGACTCTGTACGTTTTTATAGGGACAACAAAGATAAAATCGACGGAATGGAACCGGCATTGGACACCTAATCTAGAGCGGCGACTGAAAAATTGTTTTTGAAGGCTAGCTCAAGTATTCCTCCAAGTGTAACGCCTCACTGCTTTGCGCTATCGGCGGTAACAGGCCAAAAACTAACGGTGGTTGGAAAATACGAGTTGACAGAGAGATTTGACTGTATATAGACTCTAAAATATCCTACAGAGAAAATACATTTTGAAAAATACTGACTTCAAAATTGGTCAACGGGTGTGCACACTTTTAAGACTTTACTAAAAATTGATAAGTCACAAATTTGGTCTGCCATGTGATGAATTTTAAGTTAATGGAAACTGAGTAATAAAGGATATCCATAGGAAACAATGGAGGTAGCAGCTGCAAATCAATATTTTGTACGTTCGTCTTACTAATTTCAGATTAGGAGTATATTCTAGTGAGCCTGTTTCAAAATAAGTATTAGCAACAGTTCCAAAACACTAACTGCCAATAATTATGTTTTCTTTGAAAAAAGCTGTAATCGCTGACAAACCTTATCCGCAACCTCCAGTAGCGAGTCTGGCATCCCGCTGTGAGCGTAGTCTGCAGCGTCTGGTGTAATATTTTCATATCGGGTCAGTTCAGCCACGTCCATTGCTAGAGTGGGCACAGTGAGGACGGCTGATAAACCGCAAATAAGTGATACAACGCATCTGCGGTGCGTCTCTCGTATTTGTTTGGCTTTAAATGGCTTGCTGATGGCAATTGTCTTCTCGATTGCCTGAGCCGTCATAAGCCAGTTGGAAGCAAGAAGTAATCCAAGTAGAGTTCCATGTAGACAACGCACAAATGCTGAAGCGTAATATGCGTGCACGTGTGAGGAGAGCATAAAGTAGTCAAGGGAAGATATAAAGAGCACCAGGAGGCCCAGTAAATCCACAAATCCCATGCATTTGAAATAAATTTGTGCTGCTGTCCTACCGGGTTTTCGTCGATGTAGGAAAATAAGGGTTATGCAGAGTGCTGCCATGCTAAAAAGGCATACAGCAGGAGTGAGAAAATGCCGGATAATATGGTAACTGGTGACGAGTCCATCGTTTTCAACATTGAGGCTTTGCAAAGCCTCAAGGCTAAGAGAACTTTCGGAGATATTATCCTCCTCCGTAAAATTGGAAAAATAAAGCTCGGCTTTCGCAATTACGTTATAGCTCATGGGGGCGCATTAATTCCTCGTGTCCTGTCAATTCTCTCATTTCAAATTCGGCATGCTTTTGTTACTCAGATTTAACACATAGTTGTTTTGTTGCTGATCAATGTGCGCATATTTTCTGGCCAATGTATTAGCGAGGCCGTCATTACCTGGCCAATTAGAAGCATTCAGCTCTAAGCCAATAAGCGAGGGGAGGAAACGCGCTTTTGATAGAAATTTTGGCCTGAAATACTGCTAGGCGCTGTATCGTTGGCAGTCTCTTTGCCTCTTATACTTTGAAGTTTTATAAGAAAAAGACTTTAAGGTATTTAAACTTCAGATGCAATGTGGAGGCAATTTCAATTAACAGAACATCTATAAATTCAGCTTGCATTTTAGGTAAAATATTTAGGTTCCTACAAATCATCCAGCTGCCAAATTAACCAGCACGGAAACGTTTCTTCTGCGGGAATAAATTTTCTGTTTCGTAGGGGCCGTTGGGCAGAAAACTCCAAGAGGATCCAAATTTTGATAAAATCTTTTTACGGTTTTAGATAAAATACCTGACACACAAAGACATCTTTTGAACAAATTACTTTAACAAAGATAAGGTAGAAGTCGTTCGCGCTTACAACTGCCATGACTTCAGAATTACGATTTCAGTTTATGCTTGCAATGAACATCACAATTAACACAATGAACGTGTTAAGATCCAAAAAAGAGTATTTTTAGGAGGTCAAGGCTGATGTTTGGCGTTCGTCGAGAAGAGAAACGCGCTCAAGTTATTCCATACAAAGTCTAAAATTGTCACAAATTTCCCATAACCACCCAATAAGCACAACACTTTGTATCCGTTTCTAATTAGTTCTTACTATTTCGCATATTGAACACTGGATGGCATCAGTTGAATCTCTATTTGCCTGCGTTTATGCCGAAATAGATATCGGGCTGTAACTATATATCTTAAGTCATTAAAAACGTTATTATTTCGTGCGTGGCGTTTGATTTCCTGGAATTAAGTAAAGGAATGTGTTAAAGATTGACAATGTGTATATCGAAGATTTCACATTACGCGTCTGTTGTTTTTCACCATTGTTCTTTTAGAAAAAACGTTGTTAAATCCTGATGAGTTAATCAGCTTCGACAGACGGAAGGAGTATTACATGATCCGGTTAAATATGGTCGGTCATAAGAAGGAGCGTTCCTTTTACGCCGGCCTGAAGGTATGACCAAATTGTCTTCCAAGACATCGCTTAAGGAGCTTTTGCTGGCTTGCTGTAGGGGCGGTATCGCAGTTAAATTTCATCGTGAAAAAGAGGAATTATCTGCTATCTCACTAGTCTGTCAAAATACACCTTATTATAGAAAACTACATACAAAGAAGGAGTTTTCACTTCATAAGATGACGCAATAAAGCACTTTATTTGGCGTAAAAGGCGGACTCATTGTCTATCCTAGTTTGAGTCAAAGTTAGGACATCTGATGGGGTCTTAAGTCAAAGTTGAATCCGAATTTCTAGTGCAGAAATCATCTCTAGGCCGAAAGATCCTTACCTACGCTCTAATAGGTAACCTACTTTTAAACCTACCTAAAAAGGACTGACTAACGACTGGTCCGTATTTTGGCATAGACTTCTTGCAAGCACCCCTAGGTAGTTATTGGGAAAGCACTTACGACAAATTCGGCCTGTTCTTTAGAAGAAAGTAAGCATATCAGCTCTGCAATCCGGAGCCGTTGCGTCAGTTTCAGGTAGACTGGGTACTGGCGAAAGTAGTAGACAGACATTCTCCATAAAGACCACTTTTAGGACGTGCAATGTTGGCCGAGATTAAGGCCAAATAGTGTTACATTCGTAATTCTTTACGACATTTGCTTCGATCTGGTTCTTAGCCGATGGTGACTAAGTTACAAGTAGCAATGAAAGGGACAGTGGTCATACGGTTTGCAAACCCAACCTCGTGCTTATGCAAGGCGTTCAGTCAAGGTTCTCAATTACCCTGACATAAACCTGGCTCACAGATTCTCACTCGCATCCTGGAGCATTGTGTCACATCGACGAAACTAAAGTCTATTTCGGTGACACCCTGATGCCACTCAGCTTCCATCTACCGTTCCCACTGTGACCCCGAGTCAGTTTTCGCTGTTCTTCCATGAGGTATATTACTCAACTGGCTGGTCAATCAATAATCTAATCATAGGCTTGTTGACTGTGATTTCATTAGTAAACATTGGTCGTGATCATCCAGTTTTTATTGTTAGACCATACCATGCTGTGAACACCAGTGGTATGCATTCCAAGCAGATAGACTGTGAAAGGACGAGGTCATTAGGAAAGATCGAGTTTTTCTCGTGACTTTTCAAATGGCTGACACCAACCTGTCGTCAGACGAAATGAAAACAGAAGCGAAATGAAGATCGTCACACTAGACTAGTAGGCGCGACAGGACAGACATTTACAAATCGACCATTAGCCTGTGAGAGTGGGGGGTGGGCGCAGGGTCACGGTTGTTTCTGAGCCAGAAGGAGAGAACAATTATGGCTCTCTGTGTTGGAGGGGGGGGGGGCGGGAGAGTGGTGGATTTGCGGGGCTGTCGGCGGTTGGATTAGCGACCGCTGGTGCGGCATGGAGCAGGGGTCAGTGAAGCATGATCGTTGACCCTCATAATGGGCGTCCAGGTGGTTAACACTGTCCGCATTGGAGAACATGCCTCCGGGACTTCTCTCGTCCGTTTTCGTGTTAGCTGTGGCGACGACCTCAACGTCATCCCCACTGAATAGTTGTCCGCACTCGAGTGCGTGCGCAAAGACAAGGGGCAGCCGGTCAAGGTGACGGACGGCTAGTTTGTGTTCATTAATACGAGTCTCCAGGCTTCGACCCATGTGACCAGCATGCACGCAGAGGCAATTAGCACACGGGATGCGATAGAACGCATTTGTCGACTGTTCTTTGGAAATAGCATCCTTTACTCTAGATAGTGCTGCAGGCAGTAAAGATGTCAGCTTGTTGGCAATGCGGATACCGAGTCGATTTACTTCCCCAGCGATCAATTCTGTGGTCCCCTGCATATAGGGCAGGGAGTAGAACTTCGGTGTCGCGATTTCTCCAGGCGAAGTGGGGTCTCGGAGTTGCGCATGACGCCTGAGGCGGTTTTTCACAAAACTAGTCGGATATGCGTTAGATCTAAACAACCGATACAGGTAAGCTAGTTCTTCCTTCAGAAGATATTCCTTGCTGCAATAACGATAGCCCGGTGGAAGAGAGCTTGGACACGGCTGCTTTCTTGGGCCGCGTGTGGGAGCTTCCACAATTGCGGATGATATCAAGAGCAGATTCTCTCTTATGGAGGCTTTTTGTGAGGCTTCCATCGACCAGTCATTGCATTCCTAAGTCTGACGACAATTTGGTGCCACCCGCTCGAACATGCATGAGTACAAGTCCAATTTTCTCAAGAACATCTTGCTCTTTCAAATATTTCAACCCCCAGCATTTCGGCATTGCTAGTTAATCAGTCTTTTTTCGTTCCCGGTCCTGAAGTTAACTGCAAGAACGGCGTTAGAAAAACTGTGAGGTCTCAGAAAGCAGTCTCTGTTGCAAAATTTTCTGGAAAAAGAAAGATAACTCATTATGAATCGAAGTGACTAGGCGCAGAGTTTAGTGTCCAGAAATAATTTTAATGCATATTTAAATTAATGCTTTGTGGGAGAAAGATTATTTTAGCACAGGGAGTGCTCCACCCTATCGATTGATGTTTTGAGTTGGGAATACGTTAATTATTTTTGAGTGCGACGGCCTTGAATGGATGTTCCGTAATCTAATGAAAAATGTACTGCTGGCATTTTGTCTTGGAATTTTTTTGTATTACGGAGCTATAGGATTTACTTTACTCTGCAGGGAAACTTCCAGAAATTTCAACCACAAAATGGAGTTTTGCGCAGTCAATCATTGTTCGCGGAACACCTACATACACAGCCTGATTTTGAAGGTAACTAGGCTTGACTGCCAATTATAAATCTTGTTTTACATGCAAAAATGCATATTTTAGTGGAGACAATGTTTATCGGGATAAAAATACCCCGAGAACTATTTTTAAATCTCATTTTCACAGAAATTTAAGACCACCAAGTTTCGCAGTGAAATTTAATTTGCGTAACTGACATAGAATCTTAATTTAGTAAATTCCTTCAAGTTTTTTTAGGTAGGGTGGCACAGAACTCTATATCAGATAACTTTGTTTGCAAGATGTTTCATAACGCTGTGAGTGTTATCTGCACTTAATATATGAAACGAACCAAAAATAGCAAGTCAGAATTTTGTGCGATAGTAGTTATTATGAGGACCGTTGACACGCATGAGCTACATTGAACGAGCAATTTGATGACTTAATGAGCACTCTTTGTGCATAGAGAAGTAGAAAGCGCGCTGTTCGCTGCGCGTCACGCGCACTGTCCAGTAGTACGACCCTTTCGCTGGAGGTTGTGTCACGTTGGTTTGAAAAAGTCCAATCTCAAGTTACAAATAGGGGAAGATCTGTGTCGCGACTGAGTTTTTAATTGGATTTGTTTTGGAGGCTGAAAACCTTCCCTTCATTATTTGTCGAGTCTCTGAAGCTCACATAAATGTCATGGTCATTTATCTTAAAATGAATCACTTGATAGTGATGGCTAAAGTAAACACACATGTGGTCCGTGCAAATCTGATTTTAAGTTCGTTTAAAACGTGCAGACATGGTTTATTGGTTATATCTATCAGTCATCAATGTGGTGAGATTAAAAAACACCGAGAGCCATTGGTCCGATCGGCGACTGCGTAATATAATTTCAGATATTCTTGCCTGAATGTCATCCATTCGTCATAACATGGAATTAAGTTATCACAAAAAGGTTCAAACGTGAGGTTTGCTAGTCATCGCATAGGATAGGTGACGAGGGTTTATTGTTTCCACTCACCATGTGATATCTTCACGTAGTGACTAACCTTTTCCACTAAAATGAATTTTCTCCAATATTAGTACCAAAGTGCGAATCACGTAAACCCAAATCGATTTATATTGCTAGTCTGCTCTATAAACGCGTAAAAACGGTTGTGACTAAATTAAAGCGAGGTAAGAAATAAACTGATTAAACTGTGCTTCCCATATGCTTTTAAAATAGTTCGGATTTAGCAGCAGGTACCTTATTTGTAAAAAGGACACTCGTTGGGATCTGTAGCATCGACGAAATGCTGCTCCGGCCAACCTCTAGTATAACCTGTACACTCCTAATACAGGAGGCATGCTAAGTCACCTAACGTCATGAGTTAACTGACGAAAATCCTAATAACCTAAAACCCGTCCAAATTGCTAGCGTAAAAATAATGAATTTTTTACTAAGCACTAGAATTTCAAAAAGGGCTATATTAGAAATCGCTTAAATAAAGTTAACTATAAGGGTACATAACGAAGGGAACGCATGAAATGGGAAAAATAACGAATAATAATAACAAATACAGAAGATCAGTACTTTGTTGATTGTCTATTGGCATTTATCGCTGCAGAAAGCCTCCCATAAATGGAGATAGGTTGTCTATAATGGACTCTCGGGTGTGATTGTCTAGCACAAAGTCAGGCTTTTCGTGCATTAAAATTCGCCTAATCGCCTTGTCTCAATGTCTTTTCATAAGTGAAAAAGATTTTCGATGGGGTTGAGATCCGAGCTGTTGATAGGGTTGGAGGCCACATGCCGAGAGGCTGTCTGTTATCCAAAAGTTAGATGACGGTTGTAAGCGTTACTAGATTCATACTTCTTTAGAGCCATGAACAGGAGCATCACCGTGTTCAATGATGGTATCCAATCGGCGTCGATGGATGTCGTTGTAATCGAAAACATCTTTCACAATGTTGACAAACACCTTGCTGTTGATGTTATCCGTATTCGACCACCAGGCTGACCGCCCTCCGAATTTAATAGTCATTCAAATCACTAGCCGTCGACAGTTCTTGAAGGTTGCCGTCGGCGCAGTGTGTTCTTTAGGGACATTCTTTTCCGCATACGTCCATCTGTGTCAACTGCATAGGCTTGGCTAAAAATAAGACCTCATTCTAGACGTAGACGTCCTTCCGAAATGAGGCCGGCAATCGACATATTTCCTAGCAAATAAAAACGTCCTCTAAGACGTTTTCCGCTTAAAAACAGCTTCATCATGGCCTTTTTTGACGAAGTTCAAAGTCCTGCATCCTTTCCTAATTATGCACATAGAGAATATCGGCAGATCTTCCTTGCAAATCGTCTTTGATCAATCCTTTTTATTTCTGGATACGGTTTTATCATTACGTATTCGCCATATATTATAAATACTTGCTGACGACTCATACGATAAACATTCCGCTGTTAATTTCCATGTTCCTTCGTAGTCGACTGCTGAAAGACATTGCATGGATATCTTTACCACACGGCGTAACACAGAAAAGTGGCAGCATGTCGTGCATACTCAGTATATATCTGTTTGCGCCTAGTAGTCCTCGGTGTGGCAAAACAATCTATTCTCAAACAAGTAAATTGCGGAATGTTATAGTAAAAAATGTTGTATGTTTTCACGAAGGAATTTTATAAGTTTAGTTCATCCCTTCTTTCTTGAAACCAACTTGCCGAACCCGCCCGAATTGATTTTTATGGAATCAAAACCGGATTATCCATTTACAGGCAGGACTTATTTCGTAATTTTTCTGTTTTTATTAGTCTTCGTTTACACTTCAGTGCATATAAACATGAAATCTCGAGCTGCTAACTTCAGTAGTGTGGGAAATTATCTGGATATCAAGAAAGGTCAAATGTCGGCCAGATCTGGCCTGTTTCCTTTTAATATAAGGTACCTTAAATGAGTCTCTTGTCATTAAATAACTTCTGCCTCTCAAACCATTTCAATAAACACGAATAACAACAATAATTTCATGGCATAATTTTCGCTCAAATTTCGAAAACGGCATTTCATGAGTTAGACTGCCAACTGTACCCTTGCGTAAAACAGCAAGAGATTTTTTAAATAACAAAAATGTTGATTCATGGCGTTAAGATTGATCAAAGAGATGTGATTTTGTTAAGCATCAATGACTTTGATACTGTTCAAACTCTTCCCAGCGAAAACGTTTTTGGTTCTTTCGTAATCTCCGTTAATTTAAAAATCAGTTAAATAATAGTTATGAACGTGTCGAACTGCACTGTATACTAACTCAAAATTTAAACGTTCGAAGTTCCAACGAGTTTGCGCTTGGACCCCTAAGTTGGTTTCGAGCAAAACAGAAGTTTCTCGGTCATAAACTACTAAGGAACGATGGCTGTGGAAGTTTCCTTGGCAAAATAAGCGATACATAAGCCCAGGATAATTAACTATTTTCCCGATAACTCCAAGGCTTAAGGTTATACAAAAACGGAGCCACTTTCCTTTACCATGTTATTAATTAGCTACTTTGAAAGATCTTATGTAACATTTATAGGGACTTCGCTGTCAGTTAAGGGACTGCGTCAGATATACCCCTTACACTAGATTTTATTCTGAATTACGAAATCTATTTAGAAAATTTTAAACATGAAGTAGGTAGTCTGTCTGTAAGAGGGTCATTATCGCATCTATCGTACGCTCAAACGCACTGATTATTCATATAATCCCCTTTTGTGGATGAGAAGTAGAAGGAGAAAAAATTCTCTGCTAATATTTAAATGGGTCACGGGAAAAAGATTTAGGAATCTATCTACCAAAAAACAGGACGCAGATTAACATGTAGAAAGATTTCTCGTCAAAAACATCGTAGTGGCGACAACCATGACGACTTTTCTGCCCTTTCTCCAGGTAACGTCCATTATACGCGGCAAAGATTGAGTCTGGAGATAACTTGCAAACGCTTCCATCATCAGGATGACAATAACTGTTCTTAACACAATGTCGACATGCAAAATGTTAAATTCGTCACCGAGGGAGCACAACATTTTTCAGGGAGAATTTTCTTTTCGAAAGACAAAATTCACATGTTTCTAAAAGCGTTTGTTGCTGAATATGCAGTTTTTCACCGTCATCCTTGTCTTTAATTTTGCCGGCATTTATTTAGAACCACTAACCACAATCTAACCGAATTCATACTCAGTATTTTAAGCGAAGCTCCCAAACATATGAAATATTCAAACACGGCATGGTATTTTGCGAGAACGTTGCTCTGAGATTTTACAAATATTCCTGACAAAGATCAGTCTTTACTACTTTGAAATCGAATAATATGCAGAAGGCCATGCCGAAAAAGCAAGAAGCAGCCGGTAGTGACTTGTCCGTTTGTCGCTGCTTCTTTTAGCGCAAATTAGAGAGACACCTGGCTGGAGTTTTCTTGACTACCGTGTTAAAC